AGGGGCAACCTGAACCACCCCGACAAGCAGACTCCCGAGTCTTTCATGATCCTTCCCTGGTCTCACCTCATATACACACAATCAGGAAGTTCTTCTTACAGTCTAACTGGATCCTCTCTTGCTACAGCCCTGACTCTGCTACCTTTCCAGTTCTCCTTCCCAATTTTTTCCCCTCACCCCTACCAAATGACCTGCAGAAGAGGCTGCAAAGGCCACCCCTGCAGTGTGAGGCCCGGGTTATCCCTCACGAGAGGTCTGAGGTCAGCCTGTGAGGGTCAGCAGAGCTTACCCCCTAATCAGAGTGCCTGCCCCATCTTCTCTCTGCAGAGAACATCAGGCCCTTTCAGCTCTACGAGATCACCGTGACCCCCTTGAACCAAGACACCATGGGATCCCCCCAGCACATCTACGCCTACTCCCAAGAGACGGGTGTGTCAGCCACCAGGCCCCCTCTCAGAGCCCTCTCCTCTCTCTCTAGCCCCGCCTGGGCCCTAACCATCAGGACCACGGGGGAACACCTCCTTCCTCCCCTCTGCCTGGCCCAGAGAGGGTTCCTTCCAATCCTAAGATTGCCCCAGGCTTACGCTGGACCCTGGTGTAGGCAGCTAGAAAGAAGTCAGGCGGTGGGGTGACAGAAATTAGGCAGTGAGTTTGGCAGAATTCTGGGAGCAAGTCTGGCAAAAATCGATTAGTTGTCCCGACAGAAATGAGGTGTCACATGGGATAGAAACAGAGAGAGGGCCTGGCATAAATTCAGAGAGTGGGTGGCAGAGAGCGAAAACTGACCCGGACAGAAAGGTCTGGCGGTAGTCAGGGAGTGGGGCTTTGGAGTCTAAGAGAAGCAGGTGCAGATGCTGGCTCAGCCACTTTTTAGCTGGTGGGATGCAGTCCAAGTTCCTGAGAAAATGAGGCTTGGACACGAGTCCCCTCGGACTCTCTTATGTCACGCACCCAGCACCATGTCCCAGTTCTAGGGTCTGGGGAGCCACAAGAAGTCCAGCTGGGCCCCCCACTCTGCCCCCTATCGACCCTGCGCCTCTCTTTCTCCTCTGGCAGCCCCCTCCCATGCCCCCGAGCTACATCTGAAGCACATTGACAAGACATGGGCCCAGCTGGAGTGGGTGCCCCAGGCCCCTGAGCTGGGAAAAAGCCCCCTTACCCACTACACCATCTTCTGGACCAATGCTCAGCACCAGTCCTTCTGTGAGTCTATCCTCAACCCCAAAATGCCCGGGAGGGGGTGCTCAGCAGCCATGGAGAGAGCCTCAGCATCCAGGCCCAGACTAACCATTCTCTCCTACTCCCAGCCACCGTCCTTAACGCCTCCTCCCACGACTTCGTCCTCCCTGACCTGGAGCCCGCCACCTTGTACCATGTTCACCTCATGGCTGCCAGCCAGGCGGGGGCCACCAACAGTACAAGCCTCACCCTGATGACCTTATCTCCAGGTAAGGGGAGAAGGGGGCTGGACAGACAAGGTCAACAGAGGGGGTGTCTCGTGGAAAGGATCTCCATTTTGGAGCAGACCAGGCTTGTCTGGATCTCCTGGTCCGAGGAGGAGACCCAGCCCTTCCCTCGGATCCCCGTCTGAGGGAGGAGATCCAGCCTTGCTAGTACAAACACTCACCCCTTTGGCTTCCCCCTCATCCCAGGGGAGTCCAAGCTGCACGTCATCCTGAGCCTGTTCGGCCTCCTGCTCTTGCTCGCCTGCCTCTGTGGGGCTGCCCGGCTCTGCTGCAGACCCAGGTGAATCAAGAGATCGGACATCCCGATACCCCTCCCCACCAGAAAGTACAGGCCCGAGTGGGCCAGTCTAAGTCCGTCCCAGCCTTCCCAGGCCTCACGGCCCATGTCCAGGAGTCAGGCCCTCCACCTTCTCCTCTCTGCCCTTAGTGGCTACCTTTCCGCTACTGAGAATGGGTGGGAGAAAGGATGGGAAGATGTGAGGGCACGCCTGACCCTGCCTGCACCTGCCCCTTCTGCAGCAGGAAGAATCCCCTCTGGCCAAGTATCCCAGACCCAGCCCGCAGCAGCCTGGGCTCCTGGGTGCCTACCGTCACGGCAGAGGTGAGAACTCTGGAGGAAGAGGGACGTGGGGCTGGGGGTGTTGGCCCAGGCTCAAAGCGGAGGGATGCCCCTCTGAGGATGAATACTCAGATCTTCCCTTCACCTCCTAGCAAGATGCCCTCCCTTTGAAGTAAAGCAGACCTGATTTTACACCCAGTCCTACCCATTTCAAAGGCCCAGACATCTCACTGTGAAATGGGACTAATCCCACACAGAATCATTGGGAAGATGAACCAAGCTAAGTCTGAACAGCACCTAACATGTATCATGAACACAGGAGGTACTTTGCAGGTGCAACTTTGAGTTCCAGCAGAGGGCAGCCGGAGGGTCCCCACACTGCCCCAACTCAGGAAGGGGCAGTGGCTGGGGCAGACCTCTGAAATGAATCATGCCCTTACCACCTGTCCTTGTGTCCAGGAGATCTTCCAGCTGCCCAGCCTTTGGGACCCCAGCTTGCCAGCCCTCACCAAGATCACAGTTCTGGAGGAGGAAGAGAAGAAGCCAGCGCCCTGGGAGTCCAATGACAGCTCAGCAACCTGTAGTCTTCCCACCCTGGTCCAGGCCTATGTGCTCCAGGGGGACCTAAGAGCACCTTCTATGCAGCCCCAGTCGCAACCTGGCAGCAGCGACCAAGTCCTTTATGGACAGGTGCTGGGCAGCCCCACCAGCCCAGGACAAGGGCACTACATCCGTTGTGACTCCACTCAGCCTCTCCTGGGAGGCCTCACCCCAAGCCCCAAGCCCTATGAGAACCTCTGGTTCCAGGCCAGCCCACTAAGGACCCCAGAGCCTCTAGTCCCAAACCAGGAGGATGACTGTGTCTTTGGGCCACTGCTTGACTTCCCCCTTCTGCAGGGACTCCAGGTCCATGGGGTGGAAGGGCTGGGGGGCTTCTAGGACTTCCTGGGATGTCCCAGCTCTGTCTGCCCCAGGAAAGGCAAAAACACTCCTAGTTCCCTTGAGGCCCCCGGCATGCCTCTGCTATGCTCCCAGTGCCCATGGGCTGGGCCTCCTTTTTTTTTTTTTTTTCTTTTTCAGAAAAAAGGGAAAGGAGGGAGAAATAGAGGGAAACATTCATGTGTGGTTGCCTCTCGTGTGTCCCCTACTGGGGACCTGGCTGGCAGCCTAGGCATGTCCCTGACTGGGAATCATGTTCCTGACTGGGAATTGAACCAGTGACCCTTTGGATCACTGGCAGAGCTTAATCCATTGAGCCACACAAGCCAGGGCTCTCCCACTTGAAAAGTCAGAGACTGTTTCATCCAGCCTGCTTACTGGTCTTTTGTGCTTATTTCCTCTAATTTCAGTCTCTTAAACTGCTTTATGGTTCAGTTTAGTTTGGGTGTTCCTTTGGGGAACACTTTGTGTGTGCCTGAGTCTCTGTTCTTTTTTTCAGAGGGGCGGGGAGATGTACCTTTCAAAATTGCTGGTTGGTTTATTTTTCCTCCATTCATTCAGTCAACCAGAACCCCATCTGGCAGCAGGGACTCAAAAATGACATAGCTTAGTCCATCCTCAAAGTGGAGACTAGAAGACGGATGACTGGGACACAGTGGCCAGGGTACCTGGAATTAGTCACAGAGCGGGATACAGACCTCAGAAAATAGTAATCCCTGTTGGGGAAATATAATTAAAAACAAAATCTCCCACCAACCTAGAAAACCTCTCTAGAAGGACAGAAAAAGAAGAAAACGGTTTTATTATTGAATGAGCATTAAACCAAAAACATGATGCACATCACAGGCAGTTAGTTAAAGGGCTTGCAGAGACAGAAAGAAATGGTACTTTTACATAGCCAAGTGGATACGACTTCTTGCACACATTTTCTCAAAAATAAACAATATCTAGTTCTCAAGCAAGAGGACTTGACAGAACCATCTGTCACACAGGAATCATCCTCAATCCACCTGGCAGATGGGGTACTCGCCTATGTTTGCTAATTGCATTTGTCCAAAAGAAAAATAAATCTCTCATATCTTTATGAAAGGAGGTAGTTTGCAAGTTGGAACTAGGCACCAGGTGAAGTTAGGCTCCCACCCTCCCTCAGAAGATGGGAGATAGACACACTATCTTCCTTAATGACTGCATTTCAAAGAAATGGCTCTGAAGTCCTTGAGAAAGACATTTCTGGGTTGTAAAACTGGCAAGAGGCTTACTTAGCTATTAAAAAGATTTACATGCATTTCAAAAGGGCAAAAGCATTCACAATTACAAGTATTCTTTTTCCCTTTTTTGCACCAAGAATTAAAGTTTATTTTTCCTACTTTCGGTTTGTATTTGTTCTTACACTACACATTTCACAAATATTATCACAGCTAATACTTATTGAATGCTCACTATATAAGGGGTGCTTCGTACACAAGTTCCTCAGTCCATCCTCTAACAACCTGAAAAGGACATATTGTTACTATCATCATCCTTATCTGAGGGATGAGTTCACTGTGACCCAGAAAGGCTGAGTGAGTTGCCCACACAATCACGGTGAGTAAATGGTGTTAGGATTCCAAACCAGAGCTGTCTGATTCCACGGCCAGCGACCTTCACCATCAGGCTACAAGGCAGCCAGAGCGGAGGCTGAAATCCAGTCGTTCTTACTGGGCCTCATCCTGGGTTTGGGGGTGGAAGGGATGTTGAAACACTAGATTCAGGGGAGAAGGCTACGACAGACCCCAAGAAGGCCCCCCCAAAAAATCGGAGCCAGCATTACGAACGCAGAGTGGGTTAAGGGTGGGACGTTACGTGCAAGAAAAAGTGGCATCTTAAAATGTATACAGCACCGCACCCCACTAACGCGGCCAAGCAACCACCACGCCCCCCACCTCGAGCTACGACTAACCAGACCAGACTTCGCTCAACCCACTTCCGCTTCCAATCCACCCTCTCGGCCCTCCTCTGCTCCGGTCTCGCCGCTGCACTCGATTGGTCGAGCCTGAGCCAATATGGCTGCGCCCGTGTGACCAGGTCTGTACCGCGAAAGCGACCGCGGCACCGCCTGCTGGGGTCAGAAGTCACCATGCTAAGGGCGGCGTGGAGGGTGCTGAGTTCCATTCGCACTCAAGCTCCAGTCCTAGGGCCGCCGGGTAGAGGGTGCGCCCAAATTCCATCCGACCGCTGGGGCCTTCCCTCACCTCCTCTCGGTAAGGAGATGAAAAACGATAGCAGGAGTAGGAAAAGGGTTCGGCGGGGATGGAGACAAGGGAGGACGAGGATAGGGGAGAAGTGCCGCGGCAGGATAAGAGAGAAAGGGTGGTAGGTGGGGAAGAAGTTAGGCGAGGTGGGCGAGACATGGGGCAGCGTGGTGCAGAAGAAATGGAAGGGCGGTTAGGCGCAGAGGTGCAAAGGCCGTGGAAGGAGTGTCATAGAAAGGAAGAGAAGCTGGACTATTTAAGGGGATGGCCTCAGCCCTCTCTTTTATGCATAGGTTTCATCCTCCGGGCCACCCGCGGATATGCCATCCAGAAACCAGGTAGGAGCTCCTGGGTGGGACTTGGGCGGAGCTTGGGATGGAAGAGATTGCCTAGAAGACTTGGGGTGGCCGAGAGGACCAAGGCGGCTAGTTTGGCCACTAGATGGGGTGGGCCAGAGGTCCAAAGCAGAAGACCCCCCAAACGTCCACCTTGTCACAAAGCAACACCCTAAAACCGCCCTGCGGGGCAAGGGAGGTGGAGCGCGGGAACAGGAGAACCTTCCAAGTGGATATGAGGAAATGAGCTAGCCCGAGGGAACCTACCCAAGCCTACCCAGTATATAGCACTTTGAGCCTGCTTTTCTTTGGTGGAGGGTATGGTTTCCCCTTCCAAGGCAGCCTGCATATTGGTAAAGATGCTGGCCAAGTTAATGCTGCTGACTCTAATTCTAAAATGAGTGTAAGAGTATCTGCTTGAGAGGATCGTCGTTAGTACTTAATGATAACACATGAAAAGCACCCTTAGCACTATGTGCAGTAACCTGTAGTGTAAATTAGTATTTATTACTATTATTTGCATAGCAGCAGAGTTGGGTCTGCCTGGAGAGGACAGGTTGTTCTTCCCCCATCTCTCTCCCTCACCCCTAAGGGAGGATTGGGATGCACATTCCAGGGCTGAGAATTTCCTGTGGTCTGTGTTTTGTGCTTACATTTAAACACAGGAGCTAGGAGTTCCTCCTCAACCCCCTTATTTCACTCATTCAGTCAGCTGGCAAGTGTTTGTTGAGTGCCTGTTCTGTACTGGGCTATGGATCAGACTGGGGAGGAGGATTCAAAGGAAGTCAGATTCAGTCCACCCACAAGAGGACCCATCCTATTGGGGATCTGATAACGGTAGAGCCAGACAGGTGCGAGAGAGGAAGGCACAGTCCAGGGTCTTAGGAAAGGCCATCTACTCCCAGCATGAAATATCAAGACAGGTGTCTGGGGAGTTTGCAGAGGAAAACTGAGCCCAGAGATATCCAGTGCCCTTGCTTGAGACCTTGTTCATCTCTGATAGAGTTGGTAAGAAGAGTCGGTTCAGTCTGGAAGGATGGGCAGTGGGAGTTGACTCTGGGTGTTTTCCATCCCTCCATTTGACAGTCCGGCCCAGCCAAGAAGATGATCCACCCCCTTCCACACTGCTCAAAGATTACCAGAACATCCCTGGAATTGAGAAGTAAGCAGGAAGAAATCTCTTTGATGAAGCATGGGGCTCTGGGAGGATCACCAGGGAGAGGGGAAGACAGTGGCCTCGAGGCCTGGCCTGCTATATCTGAAGCTTGGTTTAGAATGGGGCAGAGAACTGTGGAAGCCCAAGCCTGGTGAGGGTAAGAGGCAGCAGAGACAGATGGGGCTGATGGGGCTCAGCTGCTTGCTTTTCGTGTGCTCTGAGTGAAGACCCTATACCATTAGATACCAAGGAGGCAACATGCCTCGTAGGTCTTGGTAGAAATTTCTCATGTCTAGATGCCCTCAAAAGCTCTGTGAGGGAAGAAATATTATCCCCATTTGATAGGTTATCAAGCTGCCCAATGTCATACAGCTTCTAAGGGACAGAGCTGGGGTTTGAATCCACGGCCAAATGACACCAACGCCAGGATCCTTCTGCTCAGCCCCTGTCCTGAGCGGTGGTGGCTGGGCAGCCTCTCGTCCCTCCCACTGTGCAGTGTGACTTGAGAAAGAAACAATTGCAGAATTGAAGTGTCTGAAGACAGATTGAACCTTATTCTAGCTTAAATAGAAATCCTCCCTTGTCCTCCCTGGGATGAGCCTGGAACACTCAGGCTGACAGCCGTGATTTTCCATGGTTACCACGTCGTTCCACGTTCTCAACCCTGCAAGTCAGATTCCTGCTGACTTTTAATCCCTGGGAAGGGGCCCCCCATGCCCAGAGAGACTCATCTGTTGTAAAAGAAATTTTTAGTCATCCCTGCTTTTCAAACTAAAATTAAAACAGCATTGCTTCCCCTTTCCCCTCTGCCCCAACGTCTTTCTCTCATTTCGGTGATTTTTCCACAGGGTCGATGATGTCGTGAAAAGACTCTTATCTTTGGAAATGGCAAACCAGGTAAGTGGACTGTGCCAAACCTTGGCCTCCCTCGGTCCTCTCCTCTGGTAACACCTCCCATCCCATGCATCGCAAGTCACAGCACTTAACCAGTAGCATTCTCTGTCTACTTGTTAGTATCTCAAGACCAAGCAGCTCAAGGGCAGGGATAGTCTTATTTCCCCTATATGCCCCCAGCACCTGACAAGCAGTAGGTGCTCAGTAAAGATCTGATGCTTGAATGAATGAGCAAGCTTTAGGGACATTCATCCATCAAGCCATTTCTCCTATCAGCAGCAATGGCCTTGGGCTCACCTAGATGTGAAAAGCCATGTGGTTGGCCAGAGGCCAGGCCCTGAGCCGTATGATAGGGCCTCGTGGCTATGTCTACAGCCATGACATTGGAAGTGTGAGGGCTAGTTCTTAATGGTGTGGCAGACTTCACAGATTTTCTGTCTCTATCTTCAACAGAAGGAGAAGCTAAAAATCAAGCAAGAGCAATTGATGAACAAGGTTGTGGCAAACCCTGAGGACACCCGTTCCCTGGAGGCTCGAAGTTGGTCGGGGGCCCTTGGGGAGTGGGGGCACAGGGAAGTCTGCTAGCTGGCACTTGGTCCAGAGCCCTCACCTACAAGTACAGTAGGAATTAGACGTGGCTTATTAAAGGGAAAGACAGGAAGGACCAAGGGTAATGAAAATTGACTGTGTATCCTGAGCGGCGTGATGCTGGAGTCAGCACCCAGGCCCTGCTTTGTACCTCTGTGAGCTCAGCAGGGTTCCTCAGGAACCCAAATTCATCTCTGTCTCTCTCCACTCTGCAGCTAGGGTGGTGTGAAGGGGCCCTATGGTCAGAGCCAAGGTTCCCACCGCCCTGTCTGAGTGGTCCCAGAACCCTTTGTGTACAGAAAGGGCCTGCCATAGTTGCAACCTCTCTTTGGGGCCACCTTCTGCTTTTGCCTTTGCCCCCATTTTTGCAACACAGGAGGGAATCAAATGAGAATACTTGAAGGAAGGATTTTCTGGGGCTTTAGGAGATGAGCGGGTGTTGATAAATCTGAAAACTCATTAGTAAAATCACAGAGATAAGGGTGGCAGCTGGAAGGGGAAAGGCAAGGAGCAGACCCTTGGCTGTTTGGGAATTTGATCTTATTGCATCGGCTAGGACCTCTAGTGCAATGTTGAACTGTTAGTAGGAATACTCTAACTTATGGTACTGTTAAGAATGCTATTTGCTGTGGTTTGGGAATGATACTTTTATAATATTAAGGAGCTTCCCTTCCTTAGTCTTTGTTTTCTAAAGGAAAGATAATCCAAAGTCTTTGGGGATCTTGAAATTCAGAGTGCTTCGGGAATTACAGAGAGCTGTACAAAAGCCTTGGTGATTGTTATTCCTTGAGGTCTTAATACATAACCCAGATCCGGGCCCTTCCTTCCTCTGTGCCCGGCTCTCATCCTCTGTGGTTTGTGGTTTCAGTTGTTGCCTTGACGGTGAAGATCCGCAATTATGAAGAACACATGCAGAAACACCGAAAGGTAAGCCTTGAGCATTGTTCACAGCTAACCACCAGCAGCAGGGGCAGAGGAATCTGCAGGTGAAGGGCTGTGGGTCCAACGAGGCAGCTTGAGATGCCAGGAAGCTACAACACCGTGGTGCCCACCCCTCAGCTGCAGTGAGAAAAACATTTCCCTCCCACCTCCAGTAGAGAAATGGAAGCCTTCCAGTGCTGTGCTGAGTGTCACCAGTGGTCAAGAACACAAACTTTAGAGCATGGTCACAGTGTCTGGCGCATAATAGATGTTCAGTAAATATTTGTTGAATGCATGAATGGGGTCAGGCTATTCGGGGTTCAAATCCCAGCTCGCCACTTCCACTTAATTCGTTATGTGATTCCAGGAAAGTTACTTTACATGTCTGAGCCTCAGTTCTGTCTGTAAAATAGGGGTCACAATAGTACCTATGGGCAGGGTTGCAGAGACTATATGAAATAATACAAGCAGCCAACATGATACAAATAAAGTATTTAGGCCTCTTCCTAAATACTTTACACACACTAGCTCATTTAACCTTGACACCCATCTTTTCATCCCATTTTACGGAGGAATCATCCAGGCAGTGGTTAAATTATTCCTCAAGGCACAGCCCTGGGAAATGATGGGCTGGGACACGAAACTAGGTCATCTCACTCCAGGGCCCATGCTCTTAACCATTATGCCATGTCTCAACAGTGCTGGGCCCGCAGCTGCTGGTATTTTTAATAAACACACAGTTGTGGATACAGACCAGTCCAGCTCCAGGCTGGCACCTCAGTGTTCCTGGAGCCGGTTGAGCCTGTTCCTTGGAAGTCCGAGTTTTGTTCTGGAGCATGGATCACTAGCCTCACTGCAGAATTTTCTCATGGAGCAGCACCTAGCTGTGGGTGGGGGTCTCCCAGAAGAGCGAATGTTCTTCCCTCTTCTCCACTCCAGCTCACAGTTTGCTGAGCTGTGAGAGACAGTGGATAGTGTAGGGAGAGAGCATGAGATTTAGAGTGAGACCAGTAGGCCCATATTCAAGACCTGATAACATTGTTGAGCCTTTAGTTTCTCATCTGTAAAATGGGGATAATACCTACCTCAGATATTAATATTTGCATGCGACTGTTGGGAGGTTTCAGTGAGATGATAAAGTGACTATCCTTAGTTTACCGTGAAGTGGCATGCCGCTTATGTGTATAATAAGGAAAGGAATACCAACTCTTGCAGGACAAAACCCACAAGCGCTATCTACTGATGAGCATTGACCAGAGGAAAAAGATGCTCAAAAACCTCCGCAAGACCAACTATAAAGTCTTTGAGAAGACGTGCAAGGAGCTGGGGATTGAGTACACCTTTCCCCCTCTGTACTACCGAAAAGCCCACCGCCGCTGGGTGACCAAGAAGGCCCTGTGCATTCGGGTATGAATCCAAACTGCTGTTCCAGTTGGGCCCGTTCTGGGACTGTGGCAGAGAAAGAGGGGAGGGGCGTCTCTTTCTGATCAAGGCATAGAACTGGCTCCAAGGTCTTGCAGTGGCTCACAGGCCACCAGCCCCCTGGAGAAAGGCTGGGGTTACCAGCTGGGGTGTCAGTTTCCAGCCCATCTGCTCCCAGTCAGAGGTTTTACATGGGATTACAAAGTGTTTTCCTGCTCCCTTCCATCTCCAGGTTTACCAGGAGGCTCAAAAGCTGAAGAAGCAAAAAAGGGCCTTAAAAGCCGCAGCCGCAGCCCAGAAACAAGGCCAGATAAACCCAGAAAGCTCTTCCAAAGTCGGACCAGAGGCAATCAAGGAAAACCAATAAATTCTGTTCAAGTTGTATATCTTTCTGCCTTGAAGAATAATAGGAGAGAAGTTGGGGCTCTTTGTGGCCTGAGGAGGATTTCATTCGTTCTTTCATTCAGCTCTGGGATCCCAGGGTCATCTGAGGCAGAGTCCCTCACCCATCAGTGGACACACTCGTAGCACACCTCGCATACACACAACAGGTGTCCTCCCGGTGGTGTGTCAGGGGAGGTGAAACAGCACAGCAGCACAGAGGTACCGGGGCTGGCTGGCTGGCTGGCTGGCTGCTGGGTGAGAAGGCCAGGGGAGTAGAGGAGGTGACTCTGAAAGGCTGTTGGAGATAGAGTGGAGGCCCTGAATGCCATGCCAAGGCTATCTGCCCGTCAGTAGGAAGCCACTGAAGGAATATGTCATGTTGGAAGTGGTGTCTTCTGAAAAAAGAGTCTAGCAGCCAGTGCAGGTGGAGGAGAGAGCCAGTAATATGGATGAATGTAATGTTGCAAACAAACGAAGAGAAAAATATGAGATTTTGGCAGAAAAAGCAGTGTTTGTTTGGTGACTGATAATAGGATCCAGGGCAATAGAGCTGGAAACCAAGGCTCAGGTTTCAAGTCAGAGTGGCTGGAATGAAAGATGATCAGTACACTTTACAATTTGAAATTTACAGAAATGGTTGCTCATCAGTATAAAAACGTACCGCAGACTGCTGGAAGGTGATCCTGGACTCAAGATGGCGGTGGAATGTGGGTTTCCTGCCCTCAAAGCAGAGAAGTGGGTGGGAGGCCTGCCTAACAGTGGGAGGAGGGGGCTCCAGAGCCTCCAGCACATGTCCTTCAGGAGCGGGACAGACAAGAACGGGCCTGGTTTGCTTCAGGGAATAGGGAACCTGGTGGGCCTTCACTCCAAGTAGCTTTTTGAGAGGGAATGCAAATAATTCAAGGACTTCTGTTCCTCCCCCCATCTAAAAAGAAAGTCGGTTACCACTTTATTAGTGATTTCATGGCACTTTGCATGATCTCATTGATTTCTCAGCAACCCTGTGAGGTGGGTGTGCCCTCCAATTTATGAGGAAGCTCAGCCTCCAAACAGCTGCGCAGAGTCACTGCTGGGAAACAACAGCGGAGACAAACCCAGGTCCATCTGCTCAGAGGCTGCTCTAAACTGTAGGACACGTGGCTGCGGCAGGTCTGCTGGGCTGAGTGACGCCCTACAAAGGGTGTCCAACCTTTTGGCATCTCTGGGCCACATAATACATTGCAACAAATAATCACAAAAAGCTCATAGGTTTAAGTAAATTTATGATTTTTTGTGGGGGTGCATTCATAGCCATCCTGGGTGGCATGCAGCCCACAGGCCACGGGTTAGATACCCCTGCAAAGTTTCACTTAGGTGTTTCTCATTCTGGGGCACCTACGCACGCAGCACGGCTGGATGAGGGGTCGTGAACACAGCTGGGCCCGGTGTCTGCTGCTCCCTCAGCGCCAGCCCTTGCAGCCCACCACCCTCGCTGGCCTTCCCCTTCCGAACAGCCTTGGAAAGTCAGAATTAGCGCTCCACCCTGGGGTCCGCAAGACCTGCGTCTACCTCGGGATTCATCCACCTCAAAAGTCTCGGGCATCCAGCCCAATAAGCTTCCTCTGCCGGGCGCCTCACAACAAAGAGCGTGCTCATTGGCTCCTTTTGCTGGCCGCTGTGTTGCCCTAGCAACCAGGCCACGGAGACGCGGTGGTAGGGCCTCCAGGTCTCTGGCTCCCCTGTCTCGGGTCACTTGGTCAGCTCTGCTATCTTTCGTCGTCGTCATGTCGATGCGGACGCTACCGCTGCTCTTCTTGAACTTGGGCGGAGAGATGCTTTACATCCTGGACCAGCGGCTGCGGGCCCAGAACATCCCGGGAGACAAGGCCCGCAGAGGTGAGAGATGCCCGGCCTTCACAGCCAGCCCCATGCCCCACAGTCCGCCCCGGTACAAACTGACCTTACAACACCCCTGCACACTGCGCTCTCTATAGCCCGAGATCTTTCTCACAACCATTCAGAGCCCCTCAGGAGTCAGATTCCCCAAAATATTTTTTCGCAGCAGAGGTATTTAATACCCTTGTCGAATATTATTACAGTACGTCAGGTCCTCTCCCCCAATTTCCTCATCCCCCTCAAATTGACGAGGTGATTTCCGAATCTTTCTTGACAACCGGTTCCTCCCAAATGTAGGGAGCTCAGCTGCCCACCACCTGGCAACACACTCTTTGCTAGTCCAAGCGTGCTCGGTCCCTCCCCCACCCCATGGACCAGGTTCCGAATCCCCAGTCCTCTGTGCGGCATCCTCCGTCATAAATTGGAAGCCAGTCTCACTAATTTCAGAAGGTATTTCTAGAAAGGTGAGGTCCTGAGATATCATAGATAAATAAATAAATAAATAAATAACTATAATTCTTCCCCTTCACAATTGTCGGAAGAGAGTACAATTGTGGAAATAATTATATGAGAGTTTCTAAAATGTAAAATCTGTCCTCCTACAAACCCCACCTAATCTCCAGAGAAATGACCACCCAGAACTCTCTGCCATCCTCTTTTTCTCCTGCTTTTATTCCCTCCTCAATCAGCGACTGCTTTCACCAGCTTTCCTGGGATTAAGTATTGTACTTCAGGGTAGAGGAAGAAAGGTGATACAAACGTAGCTGACATGGCCACTGATTAAACCATGGGCTCTCCCCAGCAGTCTGTATACTCAATTGACGTGAAGCATATACATTCAGATATTCACCATTGTGTCTGTGTAACTGACTCCAAGTCCATTCATAAAAGGATACAGAGAACTCCCCTTAGCATACACCCTCCCCTCCATTCATTCGGTGCACTGCTACCATTGAGCACTCTAAAATGCAAATCTGTCCATACCCTCTGTTACTTAAGACCCTTTTTCAGCTTTCCACTACCATCTGGATGGAGGCCAAGTCCCTGGCAGGACATTTCAGGGCCCTCTGATCTGATCTGTGTCCACCTCGGCACTCCTGCCTTCTACCACTGCCTGCCTCCTACTTTGCATCTTAATACCAAACTGTTTGTGGGTCTCCATTTAAAGCATGTTCATTCCTGTTTCCATACCTACCCCACCCCAAACCTCCCATTTCCGTGCTAATAACTCCCCTTTGATATTGCATAATTCAGCTTAAGGTTCCTTTCCCTCAGGAAGCATCCCACATGGGAAAAAGGCCCGCACGTACTCTCATAGCACCCATGCATGCCTCTCTACCCTCTCACTAACCGCATTATCCTGTAATGGTCTGTGTGTGTCTCTCCCACGTAACTGTCTTATTCATCTTTGTAGTCCAGCACCTAGCATAATACCTAGACCAGAACAAAGTGGTGCTCAGTAAATGTTGACCTGAAGATCTAAATTCGCTGTTTTCTGTAACATTGCCATTTCTTCTTCAACAGGATTATATTTTCCTTGGTGCCTCTGTTGTGTGATTGCATTTGTGCTAATGGCGTTAGTGAGCTGACAGGTAGTTCTTGGATGGATAGTCTGCATCTTGGAAGGCAGTGTAAACCAGCAATTAATAGCATGCCCTCCAGAGTCATACAAACATGGGTCCCAATTTCAGCTTTACCACTTCATAGAGTATAAGGTCTATAAGCCTGCTTCTTTTTCCATAAAATGGGAATAATACATACCGTATAGCGAAGTTGTAAGGAATGAATGAGATAATGTGTGTATTTAACATATTTAGCACAATAAGTAGTAAATGTTGTCTTTCAAGAGGAGGTCTGGGCAAGACCCTGTGAGTAACACTAAGGGACTGGCTTCCTTTGCCTCCCGCAGCTGTGGTCCTTCCAGGTTTGCTAGACCCAACCGCCTTCGGTAACCACACTCACACGCTCATTCCCCCCGCAGCTAGGATGAGTGGCAGGAGACGTATGAGATGCCGGGCGGAACGTCATCCAGCCCTTCTGCACATTCCCTGGAAGCAGGGCTTTTGGTCAGTCTGGTCCAGTAACTGATTCTGAAATTGGAGGACATGTCTCTTTCCTAATGACGACAACGACAGCATTTGTTAAGCACTTACCAGGAACCAAGGACTTCCCTGAACACCTTTACCCCACAACTGTCCTATCACATAGGTGATAGATACTACTGTCCCCATTTCACAGATGGGGAAACTAAGGCCGGTTTTCCCAGGATTACATATTTGAACCAGGATCATTGGACTCCAGAGCTCATGCTCTTCAGCTATATGTCCTTAGCCACTACACTGCCATACCCGAGGGTTGCTGCACCAGAACCTGTGTGGCAGTTGGAAGGTTGGGAGGAGAGGGAGAGGTTTGAGAAAAATATCCAGTATACCCAATGAGTTTTTGTAAAGAAATGACAGAAAGTACCATGGTTGGCGGATGGGGACTTAGAGGAGATAGAGTGAAAAGGCAGGGTTGCGAGTGCAGGATTCAAAGCGGAGAAACGCCACGCCCCCATCTGGAGTCACGGTAGCCGCAGGAAGCAGGAGCCACTGTGACAAATGCCTGGGCACACAGACCTAGAAAACGCCGGAATAAGCTAGTCTCCATTGAAGCTTTGAATGAAAAGCGCATGACTTCCAGATGTTTTCATTATCTTACACAACTCATTGCTCTCCTGGAGGCCGTCCTGCCCCCACGAGGCCGGGGCAGGTAGCGCAGTTTCCCCCGCAACGCAGCCCCGGGTCTGGCCTTCAACCGAAAGGAAGCGCCCTCTCAATGGAGCAACTTTTGAGTGTTGCACATTGAATGCTGTCCCGCGTTTTAAGCAATAGTGAGAATAATAAAACCTGCCTTCGCCTCACTCCTGTCCTCTTAAAAATGCTCATAAATAAGACTGTTACATTTTGTTTGCATGCCTCATTTTCCAGGAGGGGAAACAGGCATAGAGCCATTCATGGATTTTTTCCCCAATACGTGAAGATCACAGTGTAGTTCTGACCAACCAAGTGGTGGTGAGGTTCTGTTTTTATTTTCCTAATTTCAATGGAACAGGCAGCTCCGGGTAGCCTTGGGCATGCCTCCCA